AGAGAGAGAGAGAGAGAAAATAACGTCAATTCTGGGAAGACGATTAGGAACGATCAGATAAGGGGCGGTGGGCTGCGAGGAACGTGTCGTTTCCCACCCGCTCCAAGACTTTCGACTTAATTAGACGTTTGCTGTCGTCCTGATTTTGTCAGCTTTAATCTTGCCCCGTAACCGGAGCCAATGACGCGCATCCCATTCGCAATCAGGCAACATTACGGACGACTAAATATTTGACGACTGTACGATGTTGACTCGTCGTACGATAAAACGTGTTGCGACATTTGTTCGATAATATGAAATACGAGATGGTGATTTATCGTGGCAACGTATAGTGAAATGGGGGAAAAAATTACGAAATATCGAGAATTTTTCTTTCGAATTTTAGTTGAAAAAATTTGCCTCGATGATAAGTATTAATTATGTAGATAGGAAAAAAGACAAAGATTACTCGTGGGCGAACAATCACGCTTTGGATTATCCAGGATCTTATCCTTTTCAGCGCCTTCACCTGTCTACCTTGTTGCATTCGCACAGATACGATCGGTAAAAAAAAAGGCCAATCGCGTTACGAAATTTGCTCGCTGCCTGAAAATTTTTTTCTTCCATCGTGCTACCGGCCTCTGCATAACCGGCGCGAAATTGTTCCGATAAAAAATTCTATTACCTATAATGCGACCACCAGCCAGATTAGCATCTTTCGAGGAAAATTTAGGTCACACGGATCGACGCGTTGTTCCTTTTCGCGGTGTGCAATTTTCTACGACCATTGTAACCATCTTGTAGAATCGTTAAAAAATATTTGACGAATGAAGAAAAAGTAAAAAAAAAAATAGAATATCGAGGAAAAAGAAAAATCTTTGAGAAATTTTACATCTTCGATGAATAATTACTTAGCGAAGATATTGCGTGTATGACCTTAATGAAGAATTACCGTACCGAGTACGTTCGATAGAAGAATCCCCTCGAAAAATGGATTCAAGTAATTAGCAAACGAGTTGCGTGTACGTGAGAACAGAAAAACGTGTCGTTCGAGCTGCTCCACCTCCAATACCGGTCCACTCCTTTCGCGGTGGGTTAATGGGCGGAGCCAAGGACGTCTGTTGCCAAACTGTCACGTTGACGTTCGATTGTCCTTTATTTCATTGCATCTTCTTCAATTCTTCCTTTTTAATACAAAAACCAAATTCAGATGAACACGATTTACCAATTGGAAGGAAAAAAAAAAAAATTTCGAATTCGATATTGTTTTTTTCGTTCTGATTAATTTAAAAAATCGAACCGTAATATTTACCATAAAATAAAAATAAGCATCACAAAAAAGACTACAAGAACCGCGAATAAAAGAACAATCCAAGGAACGCAACAAAAACTAAAACCACCGGATCTTTGGAGAAAGGAAATTCACTCGCGTCCCAGATGTCAGCGTCACCCTCAACCCTCGATTCCCGTCGAATTCGCGGTCGATAGGGGAACCGGGGGAGTCTCTTTGGCGGTCGAAAGTCCGCGTTCCATGCATACAAGCGTAGTTGCTGGTCGAAGCGTGGTCTCCGGCTTTCTTTGCCAAGCTATACCCCCGACGGAGTCTGTCGGGAGTAGTGGCAGCGTAGTACGCGCACGACGAACGAAAAGGGTCCCCGGGCAGGTAGAGAAAACACCTCGACGAGCGAAGGGGCCCCGAGGGTGTCAGGAATCGAGGGGCGTGGCCGAGTTACGCCACCGCCCACACGGACACCATAATGGCCTCCGCGCGGCCAATCGAACGGCTAGACGTCACAGCCGCGGAGTGGGGGAATGGTGGAGCGGCCAATCGGTGGGCGCGCTAACGGCCGGCGTGGGCGTGGCCTTGAGTGGCGCCACCGCGGCGACTTTCGGAAACCGTGCACCGGGCTCCGGGGAGAGGCTCGGGCTTCATTATGTATCATTATACCGGTCCGCGCCGCGCGGTGTGCACTGCAGTTACTGGGCCAGGCGCGCGTGTGTGCTTTTCTCTCTTCTTCGTCGCCGTCGTCGCCTTCTTCTTCTTCTTCTTACTTCTGTACCCTGGCCGGCGCATCGTCGTTACCGTTTTCTCACGTCGACAACCACGTCGGCCGAGCCACGATGCTCATCGGCGTCGAATAATCACGGCATACGCGCGTGTGGAAAAAGCACTTGCTGGCTGCCGCTGAACGAGAGCGAGCGTGCGCGCGCGCGCACGCCTCTGTGTCATCGGCGTACAATTAAATCACGCAGTTCGCGCGAGTGTACTGTCACGATAGGACCGCACAGTATTCGGATCGACAGATTACCGGTCCCCCGTCGGACGAGTTGGACCGCAAATTACGATACCGCCGATCTTGGGGATTTCCGAATTCGGCCAAAGTGTCCCTCCAAATAAGCCGGGGACCTCGACCCGGTGTGGTGCACGATCGAGGCGTGATTAACAGTGACGGTAATTGAGATCGCGGTCGGGTGGATCGAGAGCGCGATACCCGCGCTCCGTCGCGCAGTGAAAAGAATCGCACATCAATGGCCGGTTTACGCGGTCGTGGAGAACGTTACCGCGAATCAATGACGAGCTGACGCGTGACGAGCTCGCACAGTGACGCACGACACTTCCTGTGCATGACTTTGGTGTACATCCTTTGTCGCCATACAAACAACAACAGTTGGATTCAGTTCCGTGAAAACTGCTACGCGGGTGAAGTGCTTTTCAGTGATTTTAACTGTAATCGATATAACTCAAACTTTCACCAAAAAATTTCTCGTATAAGTGTGTATACGTGTGAACACGTGAGAGGAACAATATACATATATATACATATATATAATCAAACCCAGTGACAATTACAGTGACAGTTACAGCGATTGATCTAATCAACTTCGAGTCAACGAACAACGATCTGTCTCTTTCATCGCCACCATAGTGAAATCAGCCAAATCATCCACGTGAAAAAAAAAAAAAAGGAAGAAATAAATCATCAAAAAAATCGAAGATGTCATCTCTTCTGCTCACCTACGATCCAACATCGTATCCGTGATCCAACAGTGAGGAGTCGCGAATCGTGAAACAGAGGCCCCCAAGATTCGGGCCCCGTACGGTGTTCGCGCGACGGCGGCGGCGACGACGTCGTCGGCGAGTTTGTCCGCGAGAACCGTAGGCTGTGGCGGCGGCATCGACGTCGCGACTAAGGTGGAGCGTCCGGGCAGCACGACGACGCTCAACTTCACGGACCTGGGGAGCCCATTCGGGGCGGGCGACCCCTGTCCGTCTAGTACCCCGACCCCGAACAGCATGTCGGGTGGCGGTGGACCGTCAGGCGGAGGCGGTGGCGGCGGTGGCGGTGGTGCGGGTGCAGGAGGCGGTGGTTCCGACATGGAACAGCATCTTCATCACACGGGGCTTGGCTCGGTGACACCTGGACCACCCGGCGGGAACGGCGGCGACAGCACAACCTCGAGCACGCCTGTCTCGCAGAGTGGCAAATCGGCGTTCATCGAGCTGCAACACAATAATCTGTACAACCCTGCCAGCCTGCGTGGCGGTTACCCAGGTGGGCACAATGTGCCCGGCGCCCATCAGTTCTCCCATCAAGTCGGGGCGCTAAGTCACCAAACGTCTGGACCAGGCAGCGGGAACCAGCAACACGCGGATGCAGGATTCCCCAGTCCTAGGTCCGCGCTGGCCGGATATCCGTTCGCGCCCATGCATCAGCACAACGCTTACGGATATCACCTGGGATCGTACGCGCCCCAGTGTCCCTCGCCGCCCAAGGACGGTGAGTACCCTAACTGTATGTATTCGCAGCCATTTTTATATTTCTATTATTAGAATAGTTAACCTAGTTGTTGGCCTCCTCCGTCCCTCGAAATCAGTGGTCAATCGTTGTCGTGATCGTGGGTCGTGAGGATGTTGTTCGATTTGGTTGTCTTAAGCGTAATATTTTGCTGATTTCTTGGGACGAGGAGGCGTTGGAAGGTTCACGATGATGATTGCTGTGTCGATTTGTAATCAATCAATTGTGGATGAGGTTCGAAATCACCGTGAACTTTTCAAAGTTTTCGATCAGACGATTTGAAATCAATTTTGAATTGGAGATGCGCTAAATATCCATGGACTTCAACTGTCGAACAGATTATAAAGAAACATCGTGCCAGCCTCGTGATTATGCGATTATAATATTTCCTAATTCCTCGCATGTCTGATCCCGTCGGTAGATTTCTACTTAAGATGCGTTTAGTCTTGCGTGTTTAGTCTTAAGTGAAAATTCATATTCGCCATTCCATAACTCCAGTCATAATTCATTCGATAATTACATAGAGACGATACTGCTTTGCTTCTAACATCACTTAATGATTTCATTATCTAATCTTCGAAGAATCCTCCGTACGATAGATCGGATCAATGGAAATACGTCACGTGTGTCGATTGACGTAAACTGGAAATCGTGAATCTCTTGCCTCGAACGTTGATTTCTCGCGTGGAAGGAGTCTCTGTTCACGAAAAAAGGAACGAAAACGGAAGAGAGAATCTAGAGTGGCAGGTAGTGGTCGGTCGACGGCCTGGACAGGCACAATAACGTCCGAGAAGCGGAATAAGATATACGACTAGGAAAGAGAATCCTCTTGGGACCCGAAAAAGTCCCGCAAAGCGGCTAACGAACGAACAAAAAGCCCCCCCGGCAGAATGAGAATAGTCGCGGCCTCCCAGTGTCCTCGAGAAACGCTGTTAGATATTCAAACAGCCGAATACGCAACTGTTTCATTTTCCTCACCTTCTTCTTCCTCTTTTTCTTCTTTTTCTTTCTGCTCAATTTCTTTCAAATTCAAGTATATATAATTGAAATATATTTGCACTAATTTATAGAATTGGAATACTAGGATATTGGTTCTCAATTCGATTTTCATACTAGTAAATCGATTATGAATGTTTATGAAAAATTTTATTATTTTATTTTTGAAGAAAAGTTTTATTGGAAAGTGTGGATATTTCCAAAATTTTTCGAAACATGTTCGAAAATGTTTAAATGGATGAAGTTGATATAAAAAGATACTATATTAATTGGTATTAATTGGTAATAGAACATTACAAAGATGAAAGAGCGCGCAAAAATTCAAACAAAATTGTTTTCTACAATGTGCACACGGTGTCGCAAGTATTTATTATGTTTGCAAATGTGTTAATTCGCGTAAACATCGACAATCTATTATTAAAACAATTTTAATACTCGTTTCTATTTCCTTCTTCATTAAATATACGCGCGATAATAAATGGATACTAAATTTCACCAATATTGTCATAAATATAATTATTCGTTTACACATTCTTATCTCTGAATTTCCCGGTGTTCATCGCGAAAGAAAAGTCGGTATCGATCCTTCACTAACTAACCTTGTCGCCACGACGAATGGAAAAAGAAGAAAACGACCAGTCGTCGTTTTAGTATTATTCGTTCGAATACATTCCACCATCGGTGTAGTATCGTCTCTCCAATGAAGCTGTCATCCACGAATCGACGGCCACGAACAACAATATCCCCCTGCTTCGATGCAAACGTACAATATTCAATTCTTTAGACGCGACGGTATTCACGACACGGAAGACAAATCCTAAATTAATTGAAGAGGAATTTACACGAGTTTCTCTTCTTCTTCTTCCTTTTCCTTTTTTTCTTTTTCTCTTCTTTTTTTTTTCTCATTTCGTGGAAACTCTCGCTTTAGATGCACGCTTCTACCTGTCCTATACGAGGGGAGACAATCGACAACCCTCTGAGAACCCTTTCCACCCTCGTAAATTAATAATGACCGATGTTCTTCTTCCACCTGTCTTTTACCCCCGTGAACGCGCACGTTCCAACGTTTCTGCATTATGGAAACCACGGGAGGCTTTCACCCATTGGTACCACCCCCTCGGATAGTTCGTAAGCACAGGCATATCGGTTATAGATAATCTTAAATCGGTGAGTTTATCGAAATTGCTATGAGAAATAAAAAAAAAAAAAAAGCACCGATGAATCTCCGATGAGGAAGCGTATCGAAAGGGGTTCGTCCCTCGAAATACAGTGTGGCGAATTACGCGATATCGTTCGTTTCTTCTCTAATGGAAGAATCCTGTAAACGATCGCAAGGGTTGAATTCTCGGCAATTTTTCCGATCCTGATATTTTTACATCGATCGCGATTAAATTGGAAATGCTTGACCATCGACTGGGCCGAAAGAAAGAAACGCGTGTCATTTTCCAAGGGTTGGGATCGGCGACGTAACGTAATGGGCGACCGTTCTACCATGTGGGTTCTTTCAGTGGCCACGACCACGTTCCGTGGAATCGTTCAGATTATAGGTCATTTTCTCTCATTAGGATGACAATTTTTTCGTGCCCGGTTTTCATAAACCATTAGAACGAGTACTCCGATGGGATAGAATTATGACGAGTACGTAAAAAACCGGATCGGCCGGCTAGAAAATTTCGCTCGAGGGAGTTGGATCTCCGGCCGACGAATTGCCACGACCGCGTGTCGTAGTATCGTAATGTCGCGTCCATTTTCATTAAAGTGTTGTGACGATAATGCGGAAATTGATTTATCGAACGATCTCGCCACGTGTCGCTCCGTTCATTTATCGATCGTTCCCCGATCCTCGTAGATCATTCAGTCGCAATTACTTTTTCCTCTCGTACATTTTCCATTTTTTCCTCCTCCTCTTTTTTTCTTGTCGCACTTCTCACAACACGCGTCTTCCGCGTTGTAACGCGAGATTCGTCGTAATTGTACCGCGATAATTGGTTAATTCGAACGTATCGTGTGCCGATCGTTAGGGATTAATCGTTTACGAGAAGGCTCGTTTACGCGTGTGACAAATTGCGACGAAAGAATTTACTCGTTGTTCCTCTCGTAATCCTCGTTTGTCCCGCTGATGAAGGCGATTGAATTAATTAAATAATAAATATCGTTTTAGAATCGCGATCGAGTTAATTACCAAGATGCACGCCATTGTTTGCACATCCTCCTCGAGCTTCTCTAACCACCTGTGCCGCCACTTTCAGCTAGCTTTTTTTTTTGTCAAAATACTCGATACGTTTTACCATTCTACAATAATAATATTTCAGAAAAGAGAAGAATTCGTAGAATGTTCAAATTTTCCTCGAAACTTTTAATCGAAATTATTTTATTTTAAAATTCCCACGATTATATTTATCTTCTCCAAATATATTTTCATATTCCTATCCAAGTGTTTTCAACAAGTTGATATTTATATATATATATAAAGAATAAAAAATCATTGACATCGTTGACAACGAGATTAATTACGAGACAAGATCCGATGAAAGGAAAAATACACGGTCTAACTAACACATTTCGAAATCATCGGGCGTAAAATTTCTTCCATCAATTTCAATACCTCTAAATGAAGTCATCGGGTACTTGACCGACTACGACGCTTTAGAGTCGAGAGAATACGAAAGGAGAGACGAGATCGTGTACACAATTGTCCAAGATCCTCTGCACGATTTCACACTCGACGATGCGCAAACATTGCCTCCCTCCCGATAGAATATATCGGCGAGCAATCTCATCGTCGCGACAAATGAACCAGCCATTAACATCGTTCCTCTTCGTGCTTGCCCTTCTCCCACTTCGTTCCCTCCCTTGTCATCGCCCTCCCCTCCCCCCCTCCCGCCCTCCCCACCCCATCCACGTCCAGAGTTGCAGCGAGGAGCAAGCAAACGCGCCCGTGGAATCAGAATCCAATTAGCGTGGCTACCTTTACCGAACTCTACATTAGTCACTGGACCTGGCAGCGACCAACCACCAGGCCAAATTAATCCGGAACGGTTCAAAGACAATGCGCGCCCCTCGAACTCGCCCCCGTGCCCGGGGTGATGGATTAGGTATTAAACGGTTGTTTTCACAAGGATTAGCGTCCCACCGAGGCCTGTGGAGCACGCCTGCCTGCGGATCCCCAGACTCGAGCGCTACACTCGAGCCAGAGGTGGATGACGGCGTCGAAGACGACGATGGCCCTCGATCCTCGTCTCGTGCTCATCTCGCCCGGAGGATTTTGCACGGAAGTCGTGTTTTCTCTGGCGTAGATACATCCGTAGATATCGTGCCGCTGCCACTCAACCGGATCCTGGCTCGTCCCCCCCCCCCTCCTCTCTCCAGCTGACAATGAGAAAAGTAGGGTTCGAATGGTCGTCACGCAAAGTGCACCGGTCGCGGCTAGCTGCAGCGATCCGCACGATAAACTATTCGTCTAATTCTTCTAACTAGCGTTTTTTCCAACGTGCAACTCGAACAGCTTCCAGGAGGCGTTATTTTTTTGATCCGAAACTTATTCGATTTTCGTGGAAACCGTACCGGGAACTTTGTACCGGGCGTCAGACATATTTATGCATATTTACTCATATACATACGAATGAGAGAATGCTTTTGTTTCTTTATAAACGATTTTCGAACTGATGTTCACACGTTATTATTGCTCGTTTCAGAAGCGATGCAGACGCAAACATTAATAATATATTGCAATAATCTTCTGTATTTTTATTTCTCATTTTTTTTGTCTCTCCTTTTTACCAATGTTAAATTTCCTAATTTTTCTTCAACAAGTAAGTTTCGTTTCGTAAATTTATTTCTATTCTTCTATATATCAGCAACATTCCTTCCAAAATAAAGGAACTGACCAACGATTACAAACGATTATCGAGAAGAAAACTAGTAGGGAACTTGATCTGCATCTTCTAAATGATTCGTCTGCTTCTCTCCTCGGTCACAGACGACGCATCGGTGTTTTACGATCGAGGGTATATATAGGCGAATGTTGCCTCTTCGAGGACGATTATTCCCGTTGAATAACGTCGGCGGATCGATCGATCGCGTACACGCGAAAATCGGGAAGGGAACGAGGTTGCGAAGGAAGTTGGGGAACGTACGATCGTTCGCAAATGAGCGAATTACGGCAAAGTAGTAGTTTCACCGCGACGCGAACGGTTTTCAGCGGCCGTTTTGCATACGGCCGAGCGTTAATGATCTCGCAACGCGGCCGCTCTACACCCGAGAAAAATGTGTCGTAAAACCGTAAACTTCTTTCGTCCACCGATTTTTCTTACTCGGCCTGCACTCGCGTTGCATCAGAAGCTGTGATTAACAGACGGTTGATCGGCTAATCAATGGCCAACGAGCGGCGATAAATTCGTTGTGTTCGTGATAAGAAAGGCGATTCGATACTGCGTGACACTCTCCTACTATTACGCATGTGTTCCATTTGTGGGAATTTACGAATGGATTCTTGTTTTCAGAAGATTTATGGAATACTATTTTATATTCTTTTTTAATCGAACGAATAATATTTTTATTCGTATTCGTAGTCGACATTGATAAGTAAAAGAGAAATTTTAATGATTCTTAATGATTCTTTGCAATGAAGTTATATCGATAAGAAGAAGATTTTTCGCGAGTGATCGAATACGTGACAAATTCATAAAAACACATAGATTACAATCAGTATTATATTAGTCACTTATCATGTTAAAAAAGCACATATTTAATCTAAACACAAAAAAACAATTAGAATATAAGATTGACTGACAGTATATAAATTTTCAAACAGGAAATGTTATAATTATTTCGTTATTCCTTTACTATTCTCAAAACACAAGTGTATAAATATTGCTTCTCCGCCCAATTAAACTCAAAGGTATAATATTTTTCAATAATTCTCGGAAGTAAATATCAGTCATTACATGAAAATATACATATATATATAAGCACTACAAACAGATAACAAAACAGCCTCGTTACTCGTTTCAAAGTGATGCGATATATATTCGGTGACATCATGACTCCTCTGACCCGCCAACGATAAAACCGATAAAAACACCAAATAAGCATTATCGCGTTCACCTGACGGGAAATCGTGTAGGTTAATGTATTCGACGATACGACAGCGCAAAAAGCGTCTCGTTGAACGAAGGACACCGCCTTTTCGAAGAATCTTTGCCTATGGAAACATCGCGTATATCAACACGCGATTGCTCATTCGTCACCATGTGGTGTATCCGCGAGGATAAGCAGTCGTGCAGAGGGGATCGCTCGTTAATAAAATGTATCTGCTGTATTACGCGTAACCAGAATTACGACAGTGTCGTTTCGCGATCGATCTCGTAGATCCACGGCTCACCCCTTACACGCCTTCGCCTCCCTTTCTGCAATAAATCATAAGAATTTTACGTCGTCGTCGTCGTCATCGTCGTCGCGTGTGTATATATGTGTATATATATGTGTGTGTGTACGTGTTTGTGTGTGTGTACAGTGTACGCGGCATCGTATGCATGCAAAATTCGGTATCGCTAATTCCAGATTGTGATTATAATTTCAGATTTCGTCGTTTTTTTTTCTTTCCTATTCCATTTTTTCTTTTGTGAAACACGAAGGAAGGAAGCATGGGAAGGAAGTTTAAATTAGAGGCCATGCTTTTGATACTTACTCGGCGAATTTTCATCATCTGTTGACATTTCCTTGAAATCAGCATCGGTGGAAAATGACAAGGCTCGGCTGTTTGGATTTCTAAATGACTGTGTTACACGTTCAAGGATTCACACCGTGCGCCGTATTACGCTACATTGTAATTAGGGTATAAACATAATGGCGCGATCGTACGTACGATAGCGTTGGCCGGGCTGGCACGATGCGTTTATTTAGTCGGTGCGTAATTATTCGATGATTAATTTATAACAATTTTTTTTAATTAATTACACTATGGTTAGCACTCCGATATTGTTCGCCGCGATAGCGATCACACGTGGCAAATTACACGAGATTAATCACGATTTATCGCGGCTACCTACACCCGAACCTTTGTCGCGATCTTCGACGAGCCTTTCATCCTCTTTCCCTCCATCCACAGGTTTCCAACACCTCTACGATATCTTTTGCCTTCGTCTCTTTGCCTTTCTTTCCCAATCTTTTCCGTCCATTCTTTCTAAAAAGGACGTCGAATCTTTCAACTTTCTGTTCAATTTCTCTTTAGTTCGTACACAATCGGTGACGAGGATTCTGAAAGTTGATATTAGGGTGGTGCATGTTCGCAGACCTCTCGCCATTGGGTGACAAGGGTGGCAGTCTGGTCGACGAGCTTGGAGGTGGTGGCGGCGGTTCCTTGAGGAACGGTAAAGGGAAGAAGATGAGGAAACCACGGACGATTTACAGCAGCCTTCAGTTGCAACAGCTCAACAGGCGGTTCCAGAGAACGCAATACCTCGCGTTACCGGAAAGAGCGGAGCTTGCGGCGAGTCTTGGATTAACGCAAACGCAGGTCAGTTTCTTCTTCTTCGAGTCGTCTTCTTCTTCTTCTTCTTCTTCTTCTTCTCTTTCATTTTTTTTCGCGCTTTTTTTTCTCTTCCCCCCGCGATCAATCCTCCTTCTCTCTCACGGAAGTACCGATCTAACGTGTTCTCACGTGCACGTGATCGTCGACGAAGATGATGCACTCGTCACGCGAAACAACACGCGGATATATGTTGTTCCGTGACTCTTTACGCCTGGAATCCACTGTGTTTTCACGTTATCTCGGCAATTAAGTCCAGGTTTCCATGAAAATTTCATTCGGTTCAGCTCCGTACGCCGGGAAAATCCCTCTACGGAAACCAGTAATATCTTCCGATGTTACATTCAGAAGAAGATATAATTGAGTTCGGGTGAGATATATACGACTATTTCAATGATGTTCAGGTTTAATTTAACCCATGTATTATTCCTACCTAGAAAGATTATCACATAGCGGAGTCGAACGGTCGTCGTATTTTATTTTTACACCCCGATGCCACGTTTCCAATTGCCGCAATGAATTTTATTGCACCGAGGTACCGTTAGCGCGATACAGTATCGTAAAACGCTTTTAAATTAATTTAAACTTAAGAATTCGCCTAAGAATACTACAAATCTTCCAAATTAGAAAATCTCTTCTAGAAGCCTTAAATATCAAGATATTTCTTAAACAAATCCTTTTTTTATTTACTCAATCCGCGTAGGGGTTTAATCTTCCAAGATTTCGTATCCGAAATTGGGACGAAACATCGATCTCTCCCACGACTCTTTCATTTTTCCATTGAGAAAGCCGGGTGTGTCGCGTTTCTCGTGGGAAACTTTAACGCGATATTCGCGAGTCATGTTTCCACCCCTCGAAACCACGAGGAGATCCTGTTGCGCGCAGAGTCCAGTGTAACAGGAGCCGCCAGGATGGACGGCATCTGTCAACATTATCGGCACAAATGACTTTACTAAATCACCGATCCGCCACGCCCTGGACATCGGGGATAGGGTTGGCACAGCCTTGTCGTAGAGGAACGGAGCGCCGCGGCGAAACGTTAACGAGGCCATCGTAAATTATCGTTGCGTCCGAACGATCGCGAAGTTTTTCAGCTTTCCACTAGGTGGACATCGCGGTGGACAGGCTTTCCCCTAATTATCAGGCTCGGTTTCCAATTAACGATTTATTAAGGGAGAGAGCCGTGGTCAAAAGCTAATTGGAGCCGGTCTCCTCGAGGCCATGAATTTCTCGCGGATAGTCCCACAGTTTCCAATTAACGATTTATTAGATCGCGCCTCCGAGCTAATTGTAACGAGGTTGAAATCTACCTTTGCCTCTGATACACCGGCGTTCAATAGATTTACGATCTCTACTCGTAGTACGATTAAACTTGCGCTCCGCGATTTTATAGGATTCCTCGAGTTTCTGTCAATTTTCAATCGAGTATTCGATCAATACCGTTGTTAAATTTCAACTTTCTTCGATTCCAATTTACAAAAAAAAAAAAAAAAGGAAAAGAAGGGAAGAGAAATGAAATCGAGATTAATATTTCTATTCGTTTACTCGATGATTTTTATATCTCTTTATAAATATTAAATATAAATAGGCGTAATCTCACCGACAATGGAAATTGATCCTCAAATTGATTTACTTGTGCTCCGATCTCCCTTCGCTGAATAGACGTCAAAAGGCCATAGGTTTTCTCATAGGTAGACACGTTGTGATACGTAACTGCGTAATCACGGGATAACTGGCTGTCGTAGGTTGGTGATGTCGTCGCAGGGGGTCCCGGACCGGATAATTTCATTAGTCTGAGCTCCGCGGGAGTTGTTCCCCTTCCCACTTGGGCGCAGAGAGAATCGAGCCCGACGCAGGCTGATGAGTAATCGCGGCACCGTGTCAGGTTTGTTTGCAAAATAACACGGAACAAGAACCGTTTCTATCGTTGATTTTCAATAGAAGATACCTCTGGAATTGGAATTTTATTTCCAGATCCAATTTGTTACTTTCAACAGAACTTCGTAGAAAGTATCGTGTTACCCGCGTAAACTCGTTTATTCTGTTGCAAAATCTAACGCGTAAAGAAACGATATCGAGTTTCTCTCGTGAGAATTATTAAAAGTGATTGATTCAAACGTGAAAATTTACGAAGGATGTCAATAAATCCCCCTTTCGAGAATTATTAACTTTTGTCTACGGAATTCAAAGTCCTATTTATTAGTCTCGCGCAAAACTTTTTCCAAGATCTTGACGATTCGAAAAAATTCACGAAAATTTCGTGCAAGATAAATTTTTCGCGCAATTTCTTTTCTCCCTTTCACTTTAAAACCACTTTCCTCTGGGCTCTCCTTCTTTTCTCTCCCCATATAAGGGTAATTCGCATCGAACACCATCCAAGCGTTGACGAATCACAGCCGACGCGACACGCAGAAGAGCCGTATGCATCATCGGCATCGCGGTAGCCGGGAATCTCGTTGCCGGTGCATCTCTTCAGGGTGCACCGTGTATAATCTGTAATCGGCCAATCAAGGCGTTCGAGCAAACGCCTCTGTCTGTACCGTTGGCCCTGCTACCGTCGCATCGGGTTTCTTGTCATCGCCAGGCGCAACATGGCGCCTACACAGCCTTCGGACACTCTTCCATCTTCCCTTCGTTCCTGGTCTCCTCCCCCTCGCTTCGAAACCGCTTCGTCTCTCCGTTTCTCTTTCCCGTTTGTGTCGTGTCCCTCTTACAGGGAACCTTTCCCTCCCCTCTCCTCCTTTCTTCCTTCCTTCCTTCCTCCTTTCCTTCCTTCCCTCGTTTCCCCTTTGCTTTACCGTTCGACTTTGCCACGACGAGGAAAACGAAGAGCACGAGGAATTGCGAGAAGAAGAGGAAGAAGAAGACGAAGAAGAAGAAGAAGAAGAAGAGAAGGAAGGAAAGAAGGAGCGAGGCGAGGTTGGAAGAGAGAAGACCACGCATCTCTTTTTCTTCGGGGCTTCAATTTGAGGACGTGGTAGCGTGCCGCCGTGTTGCCACAGGGTATAAAGAGGGAGCGAGAGGGTAACAAGGACGGCTAGTACTCGTACACGGCAAGTACATATCGCCACGAGGAGGAGCGTGTACGTGCAAAGGGGATAGACACGTAGACGCGGCTACATAGGTACCAACACGGCCGTCTGCGTTCCTGCCACGTACCTTGGGCGTGGTGGTGTTCGTCTTTTTCTTCTTCGTCTTCTTCGACCGACCAACGTGCTCGATCTCTCCTCATTGGCCCTGGGAATGCCAACGCGTCGAAACGAGATTCGAAAGTCGCGCAGGGGAAGAACGGGACGCGGAGTGAATTCGAAATCTCGATGGAACGATGTTCTACCCCTCCTGAAATCCAAATGCCAAATGATTTCTCGGCTGAACACGATTCGCGCACACCTGCGTATCGCGTCGATATTCGTAATGTTTCTCTATCGAGAGATATTCTCGCCCCCGTCGATCATTCTTTACGCTTCCTGTTATTTATTATTGAAACGGACGGATAGGGGAGGGAGACACGTAGGCGGTATCGATGTCGCGACGGTGAACGATCGAATCGGGCCATACCAACCCTCTGCCATCGATCAGCCACGGAAATAAGATAATGCCGTCAGTCAAAGGCCGATATACAAAACCTTGGATCGATCGGTTAATGTAACGCTTTTCTGCCTGCGTTCTGCCTGCGTGCAACTTGGCCAATTCGAGCGAGATTCTTCCATTCCGTTGCAGGAAACTTTCTAGAAACGCTATGCAATGTTGCATTTGTTTTCCTTTTTTCTTCTCGATTTGTGCAACAATGCGAGAACAAGAATGCGGCGAATGTACGAACGAATCGGAATTGAACAATGCATCGTGCGATCAACGATTCTTGCGTTATCCAGATAACTTCCGTATCTCTCTCGCGATCAATAAGTAGCGGCATCGTGTATCGATTGAACGATCTTGCGAAGCACGCAACGCGGAAAATCCGAGCGTTGTCGAAATCGATGCGGACTAAAGCGTGAACAACTAACTTAGCGCTTGTGTTTTAAAAAGTGGATCTTGTTAGAAGAGAGGGGGGAGGATGAAAAATAAAGATCGAACACACGATCTTTTATGAGAGGAGTTTGATATAGAAAAGACGAACTCGGGAACTTTTGATTTGATCGAACGTGACGACGTTCGTAAACGAAGAGTTTAGAAGTTGAGAGAGCGAGCGAAATCGATTGAATCGAAATTTTTATCAACCTCCGGCCGATCGTTACTTTTTTTTTCTTCTTCTTCTTTTTCTTCACCTTTTATCCAGAGATATCGTGGAGGACCGACACTCGTCGATCAGCAAAAAAGAGAAATTGTAACGAGGGAACGCATTCTACGATGTTTTCCCTTATTTCATGCTACCGGAATGCTACGTAACACCGGATCACTTGCGAAATGTGGTCGTGGCAGACGTTGATCCGCGAATAACCACTCGCACAGTGTCTTTCCTCCCCGTATCTCCACCTTTCCCTCGCTTTCCGCTCGTTTATCTGCGTCCATTTATCTGCCTATCATTGGCGTTGGCCAGCGTAGCCACATGCCTCCACTCTTTGCCATACTACGATCTTTCGCCCATACTTGTCGCCGTATACATAGATCGCCGTTACAGATAACGAACTCAATTTCTACGAAAATATATAAATGATAAGTAGAATTAGTTAATAATCCCAATTTGAACGCAATATAAATTACGAGAATTCATACAAGTCGATTGACGATCGGGGCAAAAATTTTTGAATTTTTCGTCCAATTTAAACAAAGTCGGCGTAATAAAACATTTATGCCTGTGCTCCTCCGTGTTCCAATCTTTATTATCAGATTCAAAGGTGGAACCCAACTATGGCGGAGCTGTACGAGTTTTGTAGGTTAGATGTATTAGATAATGGGGGGGCCCGGTCTCCAGTCGCGGAACAATGGCTCGAATATAATTGATGATTCTGCTGGACGGACTCGCGTATGAATCATTAGGTAGAACACCG